ATCAACACATTCTTCCATAACACTAGGTTGACAGCCAACAAACACACTTTGTCACCCACAAAACAATGCCTAAAAAACACTAACAACAGGTAACTTTATACAATGTTTTCCTCTGTAAATGCTTTCTTTCTTCTACCTCTCTGCAGAATTCACTGTAATATTTGATACTAGAATGAATTAGACATGTTGCAGTTAGCTTCAATAGATTATATATTTGATGTTTTTGGAGTAATTCCAAAGTACAAAAATGTGCATACACACAATCCACCGATACAGATACAATAGGAATCAGCTGTGGTTGCTCCAACTGTTTTTAATACCATTTAATTTTTAGATTCAAAATATATTTCATTACAAATTTACAATATTACTATAGAAATGTGGTTTAGGTTTAACAGTTTTGAAAACAGTATGTAAGCATGTGTAAATTAGTTTTGTCGAAATTAGAAAATAATTAATGTAATTTGAAAAATGTAGTCATTGAATGCATTTTGTGCAAAAGCAATGATAAATGATCCACAGTTTAGCCTACATATACTTGTGAAGAGTTTGAAAAAGTAAGTCTCAATTATAATTCACGCAAGAAACATGATTCACACATGCCTATACAATTTCACATGCATGAAACCCAATTCACGCGTGAATTATAATTGAGGCTATTTTGCTTCCATAGAAAAGTCTCAAAAACACACGCACAACCAAGGCGATTCGACGATTTGCATATTCAAATTCAAGGATACACTCGTACATTTTCAACATTGAAAGGTTTTTGTGCACAGTTGTTTATCTACGAAGTGTGTTTTGCATTTGTGAAATGTATTTTTATGAATATATACATTTATTTTGTGCATGTGAATTGCTATTTGTGAATATACATTTTTTTTCCACGTACGTGAATTTTTTTTTAGTGTATGTGAATTAGGTTTCATGCATGTGAAATTGTTTACGTATGTTTGAATATTTTTTTATAACTATATTTGAGACTAATCTGCTTCCATAAAAAAGTGACCTAAGTATTGAGAAATACAGAAATACGACTCATGGGGACTCGTGTCACTGTGAAATGCAAGTTTAGCGTGATGGGAAGGTTTGGAGGATTAGCGGCTGAAACGCGTAGTGTCGTCTTTCTTGTGAGGCTTGACGCATCAACCCCGACTCAGAACTACCCTCGTGCATTTGAGTCCTTCGGCTTAGAAGACTTGCAATAAAACCACACTAAAAAACATTCAGAAAAAAGTTAACCATATGACGAAGGTAGATTTTAACTGAATGGTAGAGATCAATTCCCAAGACTAAATAAAAAATTATAATGAATAAAATGTCAGGTTTGGTGAATGTATTGAAAATGTAATCTGTTAAAAATGTATCGTACAGAAATGAACCCGGTGTAAATTCAGGAATGGTTCCAGATGGAAATGCTGCAATGATTCAAGAGTCAGAAATCATTCATTTTTCTCCTCAAATTTGTGATTCCAGGCAACTCCACTGAAGTGAGAGCGAGAGAGAGAGAGAAACAGAGAGCGAGAGAGGTCACTTTTTTTAAGTGGACTAAAGTTTCTCTGATTGTTCTGGGTTTCTGTTTTGGTTTTGCTCTCGGAGGTCTCTGCACTGTCGGGGTGATTTGTAAGTATAACTGATATACTAGATCTTTGCTCTGTTCAGCATTGTATTGACTGAGTTACTGGAAGTACGTCTACAGTAACAACATTAGAAGTCACGACACAGTTTTTAGTAACTTATAAAATCATACAATTGAACTCTCATTAATTATACCTGAAGACTTCATTTACAAACATTTACAGAATGGTTAGTAGATAATTTCAGTCTTCAGTGTGCATGATCTGGACTTTCCTCAAAAACACATTTTCCACTGCTGCTTTTGTGTTTAATCAGATAATCATAAGCTTGCTGATTTCAAATCACTGAATGAGGAGAACATCATGATTTCAAAGACACTGACGGCTCAAGAGATCAACAGCGCAGGTGAGAAAACTATAAAAGCACAGACGCGTTTCATTAACAGTGTTGAGTGTTCATTGAACTCCCCATGTTAGAAACATTATCTGCTTGTTCTCTTTTACTATTTAATTGTCTTTTCACCAGCCATGAAGAAAGAGTTTAATGATCTCACAGCCAGATACAACACACAAAGAGAAAGGCTGTCCTTTTACGAGGGTGAGTGTCAGTTTACAAGCAACATAAAGTGTGAATATTTTTGCACATGGAACCATTTGATTAACTTTATGATCTAAATAATGCAGGTGTAATGGACTTTTTAATTCATCTTTCACAGCTCGGTCTTGTAATATCTCTGTGAATGGATGGATAGTTTGTCATGGAAAGCTGCATTTATTCAGCTCTAATAGACTGAACTGGACAAGCAGTCGAGATGTCTGTGTTTCAAAAGGAGCCGATCTGGTGACCATAACCAGCCAATCAGAACAGGCAAGTCAGATCAATTAGAAATGAATATGTTTTGATCACACAAATAAAACAAAGCTTTTAAAGTGTTTCTATTAACCTATACATTTACCTTCACATATACCAAAAACACTTATTTTCCACTATCTCTTATGAACATTTTCCCCATTAGGATTTTCTGGTGTCTAAAATTAACGAGCCGACCTGGATTGGTCTCAATGATCTGGACACTGAAGGACACTGGGTTTGGGTGAATAACCAAACTCTCACTGACATTGGACTACAGTAAGATCTCTGCATGTGTGATCATGTCTAGGAATGTTAATCAATGTACAAATATACTGATGTTTTCTAAAAATGTTATTGCTAGTATATTATTGCTTGTTTGTCTCTTAAAGGTTCTGGTGCAGGGATCCCCAACAACCTAATGGCGGGAGAATTTCTAATTGTGTTGCTCTGGGAACTGGGTCACGCGCATTTGACTCTTGGTTTGATGCTCCTTGTGCTGAAACGAAAAAATTTATCTGTGAAAAGGATTTTTAATTCAACTCCATCAGTGGTACTGCATGTTATCAAAGAGGTCTAGTATGTAAATGCACAGAAAAAAATTGTTGTCGGCAAATTCTGCTTTTTTTGTGTGATTGTGCCTGTGAAGTTTTTTTAATATATTTTATTAGCTAAAATCAATTTATTTATTCATAAATATGTCCTCATTGCTGTAAAATGACAATGCCAATGATCTGACATATCCTTGTAAGTGAAGAATTTCTTATCTTTATTTACATTGGACGGAGAAGTGCAAGGAGGCTTCCATGTCGTTCACGAAAAATGAGATTTTGAAAAACTATAACAGCAGAGAGGGACAAAAAAGCACTAGCCTAACTCAACGCTTTTCCACAACGGGTTTTCATTCAGAGTAAGCATCACATGAATAAAACCAGATCAGTAAGAGGCGCTTGTCAGTCACTGCCCTGGCAAATTTGAAAGGCTGCACTGCAAGGAATTCTTTGTTTCCAAAAAAAAAAAGCACAAAAATATTTTTAAAGGAAAAATGACCGGTGATTTAAAAAACACAGGTAAATATCGGAATAGCATTTTTAAATAATTTTAATGAATTTCATTCACAATTGAGCTTCTGTAAGAACCAATGAGGTTCATTCTCGTCAAGTTGGTTGACGAGTTGGTTGGTTCCTTCCTGGAAATGCATTTGAGTTATACTTTGGATTGTAAAATTATTGTTTTGCTTATGCACATCTCTGCTCCGTTTTATTGTCTCTCTCTCTCTCTCTTTGTCGGCAGGGTCTGGGCACCGGGGGCAGACGAGTGATCTTTTTTGGGTGGTGGCATCCTTCACTGTGTGTCGGGCTCTCATTATTTAAGGGTGATTATTCTGAGACTGCCCCTGTTGGTAAGCCCCGGGTCCCTTGCCAGTGATAACTGAACCTTCTAATGAGATGTGTGTGGCTGCCTGTTAATGCCCCTTTTATAACTGTCAATAAAACATTTTTTGCACGATTACCAATTTCTCTGGCTCTAACGGTGACAAGAACCTGTGTGTGCCTTTAAAGGGCGCGTTTAATTCATTGGGTGAAATTCCCAAAGTGGCGTAGTCGGAAACTAATATCAACTTGAGTTTGCTGATCCCACGTATAAATCAGTGCTCCCTATAACACTCGCTTTGCCACATATCCAAAACCCTTGTGCTTCGGTCATGTTTTGTTAGTGGTTTGCTCTCATGGTGTCCTGCTTTTGCCCTTTGAGTTCATGTGAACCATTTGCCTCTTTCCCAGTCTGGATTATCTGTGTTTTTGTCTTTTGCTAATAAAGTAATGTGCACGTGTGGATTCTCTCTCTGCCCTGTCCCATTACAGACGCACATTAAATATCTCAGCTGCATCACAATAACTTTAACTCAACAATAGCATACACAATTAAATTACTCACCAATAAGGCTTTCATTTGCAGTTAATTTAATAAAACTAACGTTTAATTAATTAGAACTAGCAATAACTCTCCTATTAAAGACTGAATTCACTGTAAACTTTTGAGGTTTTTCTAAGGTTTTGGATAGTAATTCCTACAGATGGATTTAGTGACACTCGAGTCATTACTATTGGGTCACCAGGATCTTCACTTCAGAATACTGATCCAAATAATTAGTAGTTCCTTTAGAAAGTTAAGTCGTTATCATCCAAAAAGGGATAAAACGTAAACTTAGAAAGCAATGCAAGTCACTTAGAATAAAAGCATCTGCCCAATGCATGAATGTGAAAATGGTTCTTGCACCTTGATATTTGTCTATGAATTATATGTTTTTTTAATTATACGTTTTAAACCCTCAAAAACCTGCAGATTAACAACAGCCTGATCAGCAAATACCCATATTGTTCGAATAACAAACAGAAGCCAATATAGGGACATATAAAATAAATTTTATTATCCATTTTCTGAGTTTCTACACTGTAGTGGCTTCTATATAGACACCATCATCATCATCATCATCAGGAAAGACTGCCGGACACCGATGCAACATAACAACTGTGTGTCCCAGCTTCAATATATAATTATTGTATGGAAAAGAAAAAAAAGAAAAAAGGAAGAAAAAAAAAAAGAAACCTAGTTTAGTCTGTCTTTAGTTTGTTTACACTCAACATAAAACTGTGGCCCAGGGCAGAGAGAGCGAGTGTGTGTGTGTGTGTGTGTTCAGGGCATCGCACCGGCAGCCGCAGGAACCTGTGTGGCGAGAGCACTGGGAGACGAGATGACCGGAGAGCCGGCGATGTTGGCCATCGGCTGGGACGAGGACATGGATGTGACGCCTCCTACAGGCAAACAAACAAACACACTCGCAATGCATCATGGATCAGCTGACACACTAACCCTAACCCTGCAGATCAATGCCTTTTAGTGTCATGAACACCGAAAAATACTTTTGTAATCTTAATTCTAGCATGTAATTATCAATTCAATAAGCATGATCCCAGAGGGAGTCACATGACTGACCTGTGATCATACTGGACGTGCTGACAGGAGTGGATCCAGCGGACAGGCCTGAAGTGGAGCCCATCCTCGCCTGTTCCTTCACAATGGGATCTGACAGGAGACATAATAATAATTTGTTTCATTCATATAGCTGATGCAATCAATAGAGTACATAAACCTTTTATTTTAAATGAGAGAGCAAATCCTGTGTCCACATTCACACTTCTCAATTATTTGAGCATATTACTGATGTAAATGTCAACTTTGCAATCAAGGTGTTTTTGAATCAGATTGGGATATTGGTTCTGGCTACTGACTAGTTTAAGAGATCCTAGACTCGAGGAGCACAGTAGATGAAGACACTCACAGAAATAAGGGTGCTCCATGGCCTCGCGGGCGGTGAGGCGAGCTTGGTGGTCGTAGCGCAACAGTTTGTCCAGGAAGTCCAACGCTTCGGTACTGACCAGGTGCTGGTTCTCACTGTGGACAAACCGTTCCCACCTTTTCCGGGAATGTCTGGAGAGAGAGAGTAAAATCCGTAAAGGGAGGTCAAAGTATTACATGTATAAACGCAATCCCAAGTCTCAACGTACCTTCCTAAGATGTCGTTGAACCGCGGGTCGAGCTCGATGTTGTATTTGTCGATGTAGTCGTAGAGGTCCTCTGTGCCCAGGACTTTGGCAATCCGTACAAGCTGGACAAACACACAGTACTGGTTAACAACAGCAGAGGGCAGCAGACACACACCAACAGATCAAACCAGCTGACAGCCTGGAGACAGCGTTACACTTGTTCCCAACACAAAAACACATTTTTTCCATTGGCTGTTGGATTATTGCAGAAAATAAGTTCTGTGACCAACAAAAGTGTATGATTCATGTCCGTTTTATCCATCATAACCTTCACAGATTGAGACTTTTGTAAGTTTTGAAGCCTAAATTCAGAATAGTTTGCAAGTACGTGATTGTAAACATAAGGCTGTAAAAGCAACTTTTCAATTTAGCCAGTTGTTGTTTTTTTTAAATCACAAGGGAGTGTCATAAAATAAATGTGAAAATATCTTGGATTTTTAGTTAAATGCCTAAAATAAGATTTCTGTGTAACTCAAACTCATTCAAAAAACCCATTGACTTCAGGATGATAAAACCAGACGCACTTAAATGCACTTGTTTTCAGGTTTTGGCCTACAATGAAATTCTTTATCATTATAATTTTATATATAGTTATATAATTTCTATATAATAATATATTTTAGGGCTGCAACTAATGATTATTTTTGAAAATCGAAAAATCTGTAGATTATACAGACTTGACTAATCAAATTTGTCAATTATCGATAATGGTTGATTTTATCAATTAGTTGTTGCAGCCCTACTATATAATTCAAATACTTATGTGTATGCAATGCACTTTCATTTATAAAGACAGACAGTAGGACACTGGGAGAAAATATATAATCATCTTGATAACATCAGAAAGCAGTCACAGATCTTTCAATTTGCTAACACAAGGTATTGTGGGAAATATTAGAGCATAAAACACTCAAATGTGCTAAATTTTAAAATATTCCACACTGTCTTCCATGCTATGATCTGAGGCCGGTGTTGGGTGAGTTACACTAAAAAAGTAATGAATTACTACATACTAATTACATCTTCAACAGTGTAATTAGATTACTGGACCAATTACTCGCTCTGAAAAGTGTTTGATTACTAATTACTTTCTAAATCACATATCAACCTCAACCAGTTGAACAAGACAAGAATCTGGTGTTAATTGCATAAATTATTCTTGAACTGACCAAAGTGTGTAAAGGATGAAGGTTACATTAAAAACACTATATTTTGATGTTAAATCTACTATTGTTTTATATAGATCTGTTAGATGGCCTATACAGTGGTCTTAATGCAAGTACATCAGAAGTAACTAATTGAATCACAGAATTAAGATTAATCCCTTACTTTACCAGGTAATCTAATTACTTTTCCCTGGAAATAGTAATTACACCCAACACTGATTGAGGCAAATGTTTTGTGATTACGCCACAAACATCGGTCACTATAAAGTGGCAAGACAACAATGCATATTTAAAAAGAGCTAAAAGCAGCAGGCGTCACCTGATCATAGTTGTCGTGTCCGTGGAAAAAAGGCTCTTTCCGGAAGATCATACTCGCCAACATGCAGCCTAAACTCCACATGTCTAAACTGTAGTCATACATCTGTGGGAAGAAACCGGCATGAGCGTCAAAACAACAGCAAAACAAAGACTTTGTTACACTGTTTGTGATGTGCAAGCTTGAACATGTGTTTTGAAGCAAGATTTGTGTCTTAAACAAAGCACTTTCCTAAAAGTCGTGTTCGGATCTCGTCTCACCTGATAGTCCACCAGCAGTTCAGGTCCTTTGAAATATCGAGACGCCACCCTGACGTTGTACTCCTGACTGGGGTGATAAAACTCTGCTAAACCCCAGTCTATCAGACGCAGCTAAACAAGAGAACACACCATCAGACAACAGTCAAATGTGAACTAATTAATCATTCAAAATTACTATTAGAGATTCATCTAATAGGAGTGTCCCTGTTGAAGCAGGTAACGTGCAAATTTAAAACGTCTAAATTTGATCTAGCTTAAAGTAACGTGCTTGAGGTCACAGTAACAAAAAGCTTCTCTTTTACTACAGCTATCTCTGGTTTGTGATTGGAGCATGCAAGCGAGCTCGTCGTCATTCAGCCAATCAGACGTGTGGAGTGAGATGGCGGGAGTACCTTTCTGTGTTCATGGTCGATCATCACGTTGTGTGGCTTCACATCTCTGTGCATGATTCCCATACTGTGGCAGTAGTCCAACGCCTGAGAGAGAGAAAAACACTTAAACACCAGGTCACTCACACCTGTTCACTAGTACATCATTAATCGTCTGTGATTATTGGATTGAATCATTTATTTAGCAGATTAAATATTTGAATATTAAAATATTATTTATATATTTCTAAAAAAAAACAAAAAAAACATACTATAGTGTTAATTCAATTTATATATATATATATATATATATATATATATCAAATTCATTGTCAATTATGTTCATTATTGATAATGGCCGATTTTATCAATTAGTTGTTGTCCAACTATATTTTATATTAATATAATTCAAATACTTATGAGTATGCACTGCACTTTCATTTATAAACACAGACAGTAGGACACTGCGATAAACTATATTATCATCTTGATAACATATATCAACTATATTATCATCTATATAGATCTTTCTATTTGGTATTGTGGGAGTATTGTGTGTGTGTGTATATATGTATATATATATATATATATATATATATGGGTAATTTTACAAGATAAAATTAATTTATATATATATATATATATATACAAAGAAAATATTAGTAGATTTACTATTAATCACAATGCGCAATTGTTTCGTGTTTTCATAAAAATATACTAATAGACATTTAATTTAGCAAGGACGCAGTAACTTGATCAAAATTGACAAGATTTCCATTTCAAATTAATGCTGTTCTTTCATCAAAGAATCCTGTTTCCACAAAAATACAAAGAAGCATAACAAATGTTTTTAACAATACATAACGTTTCTTGAGCATCAAATCATCATATTAGAGTGATTTCTGAAGGATCATGTGACACTGAAGACTGGAGTAATGATGCTGAAAATTCAGATTTGATCACAGGAATAAATTACATTTTACAATATATTTAAATAGAACATTTCCCAATATTATAACATAAACAGTAGATTGCTGATCCTAATACAAAAAGGGTCTGGGAATCAAAGACAGAGCGAGAAACGGGGAGGGCAACGAGTGGTGAAGGTACAGAGGTTAAGCCAGAGGACAGATGCTCTCTCTGCTGCAGTGACGCAGTTTTACCTGATCCAGATTAACACACCTCAACCCATGAACTCCAGGATTCCCACACAACTGACTAACAGCATATGTACATGAACAACATGCTAAAATAAGACCTTTCTGCGAGTGTTACAGTAGCATCAAACAAATGCAGAAAGTGGCATAGAGTGGGAAAATGCAGGTACAATAAAAATGGTATAAACAAAACTAATAATTATGTACAAGTGGAGTTCCTGTGAACAGCTTTAAGAGGATATCTGAAGGAACTTACCTTTAGGATCTCGTACATGTAGAACCGAATGTCGTAATCTGATAGCGTTTGATACAATTGCTGCACGACAGAACAAGCGGATGGTTGAGGTTAAACGAACTGATTTATTTTTTTGTCTTACATTTTGGTGGCAGAATTGATTTAGCAGGTAGAAGACATGATTTACCTTGAAGTCTGTGTTGTTCACATGTTCAAATACCAGAGCTGGGGTTCGAGACTTGAGGGAGAAACACAAGAGACTTCAGTTGAAGACGCATTTGAAGCTGCGCCAGCTTAACATTTTCATATCAAACATCATCTTCGAGAAATCCAACTGACCACTGGATCCTTGACAATGTCTAGAAGTGAGATGATGTTGGGGCCGCCTCTCAAATTCTCCAAAATTTTGATTTCCCGCTTAATTTTCTTCTTCTTTACTGGCTGCATATGAATATATGACAAAACAAGCGACACAAAATCATTAAAAGACAACATAAAACTGCATTTGCAATACATTAAACTTCCATAATGTGTTAAACAGAATATTCAGTGGGAAATAACACAGGGCAGGATTTGATTATATTATCTGTGTTTGTTTGAGAACTGAAATGAGCTCAATGATGAACTTTACACAGTTATTGAGCAGAATTGAACATGAGCCTGACTTGAGCCTTTTTAAAGCTACTTTACAGCAGAACTTGAATATGTATCATGTTTGAAAAAAATGTGCATCACTGATTCTGGTATTTACCTGTTTATTACTGTGAAGCTTAAAGGGATACTCCACTCTTTTGGGGAAATGGACTCCCCCAACTCCCCCAGAATCCATTCAGCCGATTTTCTGATATTCAGAAGAATATTATAAGTAATCAGACAGTTTCTGGTGCCATTGACTTCCATAGTACATATTTTTTCCTACTATGGAAGTCAATGGGACCAGAAACTGTCTTCTAAATATCAGAAGATCGGCTGAATGGATTCGAAAACGGTAAAACTCAACTGTTTAACTCTGAGGGAGCCAATTTCCAAAAAAAGTGGAGTATCCCTTTAAGACTGGGTTAAAATATTGATTTCTTGATTCTCATTTTAATAAAATAAAATATATGGACTATATTTAATATTCATTATATTTTTACCTAACCTCAATTTCATATATGTTTGAATAAATCTGTCATTAAAACAAGTTATGACAGCAAACGTTTTGAATGAAATGGAAAAGGAAACATAATTGCGCCATTAAAAAGTTGTTATTATTATAAAAACTGCCTTATGTGCAATTCAAATATTTGTATTGAAATAATTTATTAATGTTAACAGTTTTTTTTCCCTTAAGAATAACGATATATATCCAAAAGAATAAATATCAAATCAAATCGAAATTGGAATGGAATCGCAAGGAATCGAATCAAATATTGGAATATGTGTCTATGCCCTAAATAAATAAAGGTGATTTGACCTGATTGGATCATGAAAAGTGGAGAAGTTATTGGAAATGTCTGTTTTTTTTCCCCCACAACCTGATTAGTTACATCAGGAAAAAAATAACTAATTTTATTAAGAGTAAGAGAAGGTTATTTCACTTTGATAATGGGTTTGAGAAGGAAAGGAACAAGCTAGACTCCAAACCAATAAAGTAGATTATTAAGAAAGTAAATAAGCCCAATTTCATCTCGTACTGAAGTAAAGATGAGTTTGACGCAATGACACCTGATATAACTGCGTCTAGACTCAATCTGTGCAGCTTCATCCTCCGTGTCTCCAGGTAGGGGAAGTTCATTATACATTACGGGACAACGGCGCTAATCTTCAAAACTATTTATCACTTAGCTTGAAAAGAAGCTCTCAGCTCGTCGGGTGTTATCGCTAGAATCTAGAGCTTTCTCTGGTTTAGAGGAGGAGGAGGGGGCGAGGAAGGAATTCGACAGGCGCCCGTTCATCTGAACGCCGGCCAGCAGCTTCTGGTTTCGATACCGTCCACTGCTTTCCATAACGTAAACAGCCTTATCTCAGCATACGTTCTTGTCAACGAGAAGTCTAACGGTCTTCCCAACCTTCCTTCAACGAAAGCCTTTAAGTTCTTCACCTTGAGTATTTTGACGACTACTTTCTCGTTGTTTGTGATGTTGATGGCTTCAAACACTTCGCTGTACTTCCCTCGGCCGAGTTTCCGCACCAGCTGGTAGTCATCTTGATTCCTGTCGACAAGACCGACAGCTGTTATTACAAGAGCAAATGAAATGCCCATCCAGACCAAAATAAAGACATTCGCACTGTATCCCTACTGAGAAATACTTCACACAACCTTCTGCAAACTCTGACAGCTGAATGAAAACTAACAAGATACTTCATATTTGATCATTACACATGTAAAGTGTTCAAACTAATGAATCAAACACCATTAGCTTGCAATTCCCACAGTGTTTACGAACAAAGTCCTCAAGACCCTTGTGTTTTGTTCAATTCAACTGCATTTAATTGAGATTAAATCTGCCCTAAACACGCAATCGAGAATCAGCGTCACTGCGAGCGAAAGAGCAAATCATATATTTTAATACATTACTATGCTGGCACAATGCTACTCCTTTCCGATTTTGCGAATGAATCATTCAAATCATTTTGTTAAAAAAAAAAAAAAGCCAACTCAAAAGAACGATTCACTAACAAATCAAACAATCACTATGGATTGTGAGCAAGTTTTACCTTTTTTTATTGTCTCTTCTGCTCACCAAGGCTGCATTTATTTGATCAAAAATACAGTAAAAACAGCAAAATTGTGAAATATTATTACAATTTTAAATAACTCTTGTATTGTAATAGATGTAAAAATCTTAAAAAGCAGAATTTGATTCAGCATCATTACTCCAGTCACATGATCCTTCAGAAATCACTGTAATATGATGCTCAAGAAATATTTTGTATTATTATCAATGTTGAAAACAGCTGTGCCGCTTCATACTTTATGGAAATTTCATTAAATTGTTTGATTGATTTTGATCTTTGATTAATAGAAAGTTCAAAAGAACAGCATTTATTTGAAATAGAAATGTTTTGTAACATAAATGTCTTCACTGTCACTTTTAATTAATTGAATGCATGCTTGCTGAGTAAAAGTATACAAATATATATCTATATATTGCCTCCAAACTTCTGAATAGTATTGTATATTCATTATAGAATTTTGCAGGCATAGAAACATTAAAACAATCCAATCTTCTCCATGACTGATAACAACCTGGTAATTTACTTCTTTTTTGCGATCTTCGACATTCCAGAAGTCTAATATCAGCCCACAATCATTCTCACATCAATATCAGGCATTGCCATCACACACTGAAAGAAGAAACCGGTCTCGGCACTCACCCCCACTCTACGACGTGAGATTCATAGTCCCAGTATTCCCGCGGTCTCTGTGTGTTGACATCTGGATAAACGCGGGATCGACTCGTGACAGGGCCGGACATGGCTGCGCCTGTCAGGGCTGAACACACAAACACACACACACACACAAATAACCAATGAATACTAGGACAGAACTATCAGGCCAACGCACATCGATAACATTGACTGCAATGCAATGCTTGGGGCCTGAAATAACGTGGCCCCATTTGAACGTGGACAAACAAAAGGATTAAAAAAAAAAAAAATTCGACAACTGGGATGCTTGGCTTTACAGGCCCCCGCCCACGACACGGACCCCTGACTGTCTTGATAAATTGGATTAAGGTTCTGAAACTCTGCCCAGATGGAGGAAAGTTTTAATCTAGATGCAAGCAGACCGAGGAAGACTTGACCACCGCAGTCCAAAAGGTGTCAGCACATTCTTTCAAGGTTGAAAACAGACACACACACAAAAAAAATATATTAAAAAACACAAGTTGGCTCCATTTTCTTTTCGGCTTTCTATTCATTTTAAGTAATTAGAGTACACTAACTATATTTTTGTTCAAAATTAACCAAATCAATCCTTCAAAAACGTGACGTTCTTACCCATATTCCCTATTGGTAAGCCTATTTTTAAGCGTTTAGATTTTCTTTGTGAGAAATTGCATACATACATCTATTAAAGGTAGGGTAGGCAACTTTCGGAGAGATAAGATCCCACCCTCCCTTCAGAGCGTCTCCAAAGCCACGCCTCCTTCAAAACACATGAACACGTACAGCAGGGAGCAAACAAAAGCGTCGCGAGAGACGCTGCGTTAAACGACCTCATGTCTCAAAAGCACATAACATTACAATAATCAACATAAACAACTTAAAAGCTCTGACCTGTACCACTTCAATACATTTCGGCGTTGATATGGTAGCCATTGAAACAGTGACATCTTTCTCTCTTCTGACCAATGCAATCAATCTCGCAAGTTTTTTTTTCTTTTTTTCATTTTTTTGGAAATGCGATATAATGCAAAATTATATTTGTTGTAGTTTCCGTTCACCACTATAGAAATTTCCCCAACTATGACGACTTCCTCTTTTGGAAACCCCATTATCAAATGTGAAAAAAGATCAAAACGCTTCAGAAAAAAACATTCAAGGCAAAGCGGGTCGGTTAATGTTTAAAAATGTAAAATAAAATAAAAACAATTAAAAGTGTCTGTCATGCTATATTAAAGGAGACCTCCGGTCAATTTTAACATTGAGCTAATTTTTTTGTACATTTGGAGTGCTGTCAGTACAGACAAAAACGACAATAATCAAAACCGTGTTATCCTCTTTTTAAAACTTGCACCCTGTTGACTTCAATGGGGCATATTCTAAACCTGCTTTTAGCCTCTTAACATTCTTGATTTGCCATTATGAGTGCACAGCCATGAGAGTGGTGTTATTAAGAGTGACCACGGTCAATCCGACTGCAGTAGATGTGAAAGATAATAATAAAATGATGTTAATTCAGCCAGCTCAAATATCTCTATTTGCTTCCTATTTTCAGTCGAAGCCCACAGTAGTCGATTGTCGATCTCACGCACGCGACCATTATTGAATATCATCTCAAACCTCGTCCGTATGTTCAACATCTGATTCGGATGAACTATCCATTTGAGCTGATATTCTCAGAACACCACACAGTGTTGGGTTCGAGATGATTTTCACCAATGATCGCACGGGTGAACTCGACAATCGACTACTATGGGCTTCGACTGACAACAGGAAGCAAATAGAGATATGCGAGCTAGCTGAATTAACATCATTTTTATTCATATCTTTCACATCTACTGCAGTCAGATTGACACTCTTAATAACACCACTCTCATGGCTGTGCACTCATAATGACAAACCAAAAATGTTAAGAGGCTAAAAGCAGGTTTAGAATATGCCCCATTGAAGTCAACAGGGTGCAAATTTTAAAAAGAGGATAACACAGTGTAGGCAACACCGATTTTTGTCGTTTTTGTCTACTGACAGCACTCCAAATGTACAAAAAAATGAGCTCAATGACCAGAGTTCTCCTTTAACAACAGGCTCTTTACAGTTAAAAACGCTTTGCCACATTAAAATAGAAATCAATCTATCTTACAAGAGCGGTGAATGTCTCATCACATTTTAAAACAGGAACCTTGTGTTTAATAAACCATTTTGATACAGTCCTGTAATGAAAACTGGCCTGCAAGACCATAGTGTGATTAGATTTCCCTCATGTCTGTATTACTGTAATTTCATCATTTATCTAGTTGAAAGGGAAACTATATGGCCAGCTCATATCATCATTAAAAGGAACCCTTTGCAAGTTTTCAGCCAGCTTTGCTTTGTTAATTACTATTTCAGACTCGGAAGTATATGTAAATGAACAATATGTACTCTTTCTCCGTGTTAACCTGCACCCAGATGTCCTCATTTACAGTGTTGGGGAAAGTTACTTTGAAAAAAAAGTAGCACGCTACAATATTGCATGTCTAAAAGTAACTAACTTCTTTACTTTGTTACGGTTTATGGAATGTACTGCCTCACATTACTTTCTCACCTGGGATGAGCTTGTTTGTTTTTTTAATTTAAAAAAAAGTTGGGAAAGGCAAATTCACATATTTTCAGAGAGCACAACGCAAACAAATCTTTCAGCTCTGCTTCCGTTCTGTATTGTAGAAGAATAGGAAATGGGAAAAAAACACTTATTTCAGTAATAATAAAAAAGAAACACAAGTGTCATGTTTCACTAAAGTCATTTTTGCTTATGGTTAAATTGGATTATCAAGGTCGGCAGCAAAGACAAGAGTTGCAAGTTACAAAGATGCAAAACGCTAACAAATCTATCTTACAGATATTGTAAGAATATAGAGTTGAAGTTGCCCTTTAAATGTTAGGGACACAAGATACAAGACATGCCAAAATACCTGTATCACTACAACAGCCATGCACATGCAGACCGACATCGTTTTTAAGATGGTATATCATATTAAAAATAGCCACACTTTTTTACGAAATCAAGTGCATATATATTCAAGTGAAATAATATATTAGTTTCAAGTGAAACTAATATATTATATAGACTCGTTACATTAAAACAGATATTTCAAGTCTTTATGAGTTATAAAACCATTTCACAATATTTTAATTTCGAATTTGGGGTTTTCATAAGCCATAATCATCAAAATTATAACACATAAATGCTTGAAATATCTCACTTTGCATGTGTTGAGTCTATATAATATTAGTTTCACCTTTTAAGTTGAATTACTGAAATAACCAGTGTCCCTGAGCAAGACACTTAACCCCTAGTTGCTCCAGAGGCGTGCGACCTCTGACATATATAGCAATTGTAAGTCGCTTTGGATAAAAGCGTCAGCTAAATGATCAGTAAAAATGAATAAAAATGTAAATGTAAAGTATGTTGTTTGGTACATCCCCATTTATGAATGCTTCAGAAGTCAAAAAGGTATGCTGGAACACAAATACAACGATGCTAAATGACATTCAACAGCGTACAATCAGCAACAATGGATAATTTTGTTTGGCCAGATGGGATTTGGGTTTGATCACCATTCCAAAGATTCCTGCCTCCTCAGAGGAACGACTGAACCTGATATCACATGATTCACAAAGCCTGTATTCACTAGCAGTCATTACAGCATCTCAGAGCAAAAATGACATGATCTAATCTACAGAACAAATATGCAGACACATTTTACATGTCCCCTAATGAGGTCTGGACATTTAACTCACACTCACCTTCAATTGTACTTGCGGGCAGCCTTGGGGAATCTTGTGCTGAATTTACAAGAGGACGGCAGTCCGAACACCTGTGAAGCAATGCAAAACAAACAGCATTACGAATCGCCACTGACGCCAGTATCTCATTTGCACAGATGTGTGTGTGTGTGTTTGTAAACCTGTCGTGTGCAGCCAAACCAGGACACTGGCACAAACCCTCTCAAAGCAACATTTGTGTTGACCACCAAGTGATGATTCAGTGAAAAACAATCATAAACTTTCATTAGGGAACATTCTCCATCTGTCCGTCAGAACTGTGTCGATCTCAGTCACTAAGTGCACAGGGATTGATCAACCGACCTCACCAGGATGAAACACCAGGGTATTTGAAGAGCTTTTAAAATCGAATTTAGGACTTTTTAATCATACTAAAATGAAAAACAAGCCCACACTTTGACCAATGAATAGGATTTTTATTTTATGCAGCTTGCACTTACAGACCAGTTTATAGCATTTGAAATATCTTAGAGCATAATTAGATGCTCCAAGTTTATATTTTGAAAATAATTAGAAAAATACATAGTCAATATTGAAACTTCCATGACATTTTCAGACGAGTAAATTCGAAAAGGCTTCTCGAAGAAGAAAAAAATGAGGGAGGGACTTGATTGGATGGTTGTGGTTTGCTATAGGTCGAGCTCATGTGAGTGACAGGTTGTCCCACCAATTTTGATATTTAAAGTAGCCTATTCCAGCACTGTTGCAACACTTATTTAGCTAGGGGAAAACAGTGTCCCATTGCCAATAGTCTGTATTTTGGGGTATCAAAGCATCACCTAAAAATACTGCCTGGATAGTAAGCTCACTAGATATATGCTTTGTGATGTGAAAAGTAATGTTTCCCTGGATTAAACCATCAAACCAGTTCACCACCTTCCAGATTGATAGTGGATACTGATAAGAGCACTTTTTAAAAAAAGAACAGATTTTTAATACATCTCTAACCACATATGCACCTTTCAATTTTGTTTTAAATAACAATTTCAACCTTTTAAATATTGACTGTCTCAAGGAAATATCCACTAATGAGCCTAAAACATCATCTTCAGCCTCTTCATAGAGGATCCAAATACAGAGTGTTAAACATTTTAAGTCTTTATGGAGGTTTCTACAGATTTAAAATGGATTAAGAGGTTAAAAAAGAGAAAATCAGACATGGAGCTCAAACACTCATTTAGATCAGGATGTAGAGAGCATCAGTTGTGAGCTAAACTAACAGCTCACTCCTTATTTTACACATTCGCAATCACTCAGCTACTTCATTTTCAAATACATCTACTCTTAAACACATTTACGACATCATTTAAATGTTAAACAATATAAAAGACATAAAATCATCGAGTTTATCGTATATATCATTAGCATATCATCACGTTAGCCACAGGCATGCTAACGTTCAATCATCTACACATTAAACATTTCTAAAGACACAAGAGAGCATAATACACAATAGAAAACTCTCTGAAATGATCATGTATGTATTAGAAGTAGCTATAGATTGACACGAAGTATTGAAATAAAGGGCGGTTTGTATTACCTCTCTGCTCTGTGTTAATATGGCGGCGGCGAAGGTAGTTAGCGCGAGGAGGAGACGCGACCCTCCTCCAGTCCTGCAGGGGGCGCGAGACTGGTTTCCGCTCAAACTGATGCTCGATCGATTTCTATCCTCCTGTTGAGCACAGACTTTTGATCCATTTACTTACAAGTTTGACAGATTTTTACATCCATAAAAGCAAGTTTAGTAATAAAACCACATATTTATGGTTTCGTTGACTGAAGTAAGGATGTAGGCTACACAGAATAAGTCTGTGCTCTACAAAGTATTATTATTTTGCTTTCTATATTATTAGGTTATTCCTCTCTGACACTTTTTATGTTTATTTTTAGTTGTAGCTTTATTGTAGGTATAAGTAGAATAATTGATAACAGAATGTAATTATTTTTGTAGGCTTTAGTGTTTTTCGTATAATTGTAGACAATTATTTGAAAACAAAATTCTTTCTGACGTAAATCAACATAAATGTTAGGATTTTTCGTGATCCAGATGTGATTAATGGACTTCCACGCACTTTTGTATAAATGTATCAGTCCAATGGTTTTGTTATTTCTGGTATTATCCTATATTGTTGCTAGATTTGATGTTATTGCTTTATGTCACCAATTCAATTAAATTCAACTTTGCATTTTATGACCCCCTTTTGGACAAGAAAAAAAAATATGTTGAGAAAGAAAATGTTTTTATTGTGTAAATTAATATTTTGTCCTTGCAATAATGAAAGACCAGCGAAATTATGTGTAATATCAGCATCAAATCAAACTCTAGAAATAATAATGTTAATGGAGGATTTTAGGATTCTTTAGGATAGATAGATAGATAGATAGATAGATAGATAGATAGATAGATAGATAGATAGATAGATAGATAGATAGATAGATAGATAGCTTACAGTGATATGATGCAATCAAAATGGCATTGCTTCAGCCAATCATAAGTTCCGTTGAGCACCATGTGACTTTAGAACGTGTGGGATCCCAAGATGTTCTTAGTTTTCTCCCGTTTTGTTGGCATCGTCCTCTCCAGCATTAATTAAGATGACAGAATTACAGCCCAGAAGTGGGACACATAGTGTACAGGGAATATTAGCAGGCTATGAATGCCTTTCTGACAAGTTAATAGATAACTGTCAAGAGACCTGGTGTTAGCTACAGGCTAATTTACCTGATGACAGCTAACTCATCTGTAGGCAACATAACAATTCGTAATCCACGGTAATGGGCACAGGCAAGTGATGGAAGAATCTTAATTGATTCTGAAATAGGATTCGACCTCATCTGGATGAAAAGGCACTGGCTCTCTAAACATGACAGCATATAAATTTGACTTTAGAGACATAGATTTAGTTATATTCAGTGTGCCATTAAAACGACATTGAGTGCATCATCACATGTTTAGTCTGCAACTCTTTTGCTCAATCTATCAATGCTCTTAATCACACCATTGTGTGATTTCATTTAGGAAATTGGTGAAATATTCATTAGGATAGCTTTGTAGTTGAATACCTTCTTCCATCAAACTACTTGCTAAAATGCTGAGTAATTGTCCACAGATTATTCTTCCCATCACAGGTCTCATGTGATACTCTGTCTATATTAAAAAGCTATTCAATCCCATCAGCCTCTGAATAAATCCTGTCTGGTATGTGTGCTGGTCAAAGAGTGCAATTTTTCATGATGATGGAAGGCAATGGAAACTGCCTCGAAATTATGACAGGTCATTTACCAAGTTGGCAGAGAGTAAAAGCATGAGAGATCAACACTGCTGGTTACCCACCAAACACACAGATTAACATTCATGTTTGTGATGATGACACATGATTCTAGCAAGGTCACAATTTGAAATAATGTTTATGATGCCATATGTTCAGTAAATGGCAACTGTTTTGACGTATTTCCTTTGGAAAGAGGAAGCGGGGGCGAGACATATCAAAGTGTGTTTTTAATAGCCAATAAGATTTAGTTCATGTCAGAAATATGAACCATGATTTGCTATTAGTAATGCTAATCAGTGCTGGTAGAAATTTTGGCCATTCCATTGGACAACAAATTATACCTGTGTAGGTGAGTTATTAAAGGATTAAGTTTACTTAAAAAAAAAAAACTTTTGCTGATAATTTACTCACCCCCATGTCATCCAAGATGTCCATGTCATTCTTTCTTCAGTCGAAAAAAAATTAAGGTTTTTGATGAAAACATTCCAGGATTTTCTCCATTTAATGGACTTCAATGGGGTCCAAACGGTTCAAGGTCCAAAAGACAGTTTCAGTGCAGCTTCAAAGGGCTTCTTATCTAGCGAAACGATCACTCATTTAAAAAAATAAATAAAAAAGTTTAATTTTTATTAGCTCAAATGCTTGCCTTGCTCTGTTCTGTGATGAGCGTTCGTGACTCTCCTGTTCGAACTCGTTCAGCAAAATGAACAAATCTTTCTTCGAGATAAGACCCTTATTCATCGTCTGGTGTCGTTTAAAGCCCTTTGAAGCTGCACTGAAACTCTCATTTGGACCTTGAACCGTTTGGTTCCCATTAAATCCTGGAATGTTTTCATCAAAAACCTTAATTTCTTTTCGACTGAAGAAAGAAAGACATGGACATCTTGGATGACATGGGGGTGAGTAAATTATCAGCAAAAGTTTTTTGAAAAGTGAACTAGAATACTCCTTTAATGTCGGTCAGTTTTACTGACAGAATAGCTAATTAACAGATATAGGCCTAATAAATATTGTCATAATTTCTTCATCCTCATGTCATAACTTTCCTTCTTCTGCTGAACACAATAGAATATATTTAGAAGAATGTTGGTAATCAAACCGTTTGGGTTCCCATTGACTTCCATTGATTTTTTTCATAATGGAAGTCAATGGGAACCAAAGCTGTTTGGTTACCAGCATATCTTCTAAGATATGGTTTGAAATGAGAGAATGATGACAGAATAAAACATTTTGGGTGGTTAATATTTTGATATACCGTATATTCCTGTTTTTATAGAAAATTGCAGCATTTATTATAAACGAGTTATCCGTGCACATCATTATTTTTAATGCGCATAATCTTTAATCAGAATAACTTCATCTTGCAGTGACGGTTCTTCTCTTCTCTGACGACGAGGGCGGGGCAACCTGTCACTCACATGAGATCCACCAATAGCAAACCACCAATTCCCAACGGATGGAATCAAGCCCCGCCCTATATTTGTTCGTGTTCCAGAAGCCGTTTTCAAATTTAAAATTAGACAACTCGTGTTGAATAAAAAGATTTCGTTTGTTAATGGCTTTTCTCTCTAAATCGTGACCCAAACCACAACAAACAGAGGTTTCTAAGTTCAAACTGGTCCTGTAACCCGAGCGAGCTCGTACTCCCTAATGTAAAGTGCCGCGGAGCGTTTCTTTTTTTCCGTCAAGCATGAGAGTACGTCCCGTACCTCATGGTTCCGGCAATTTCCTTTCAGCCTCCATGTTTAAAAGGAAAATCCCGAGGTCCCGTGTGCCCTTGGGCCTTTTTCACATACACATGTAAATCTGACCTTACCAGCTTTCAAAGACTTCCCTCAACAGTGTGTTTCTTGAAAAGACAGCTAAGCGGCCATAATGTGGCCTAGTGAGGGATCCTCAACGGTTAATTATCCATTTACGCTTTTAAAGAGAAAAATCCTTTTAGCGCGCACACAGAGGACTTCTTTGATAGTAGGCAAGGCCCTCTTAAATACCAGAGTGGAGGACATGTCAAATGTAACTCTATTACACAGGACCACTCTCTCCCATTATCAAAACTCTAACCCCTGTTCTGCTCCACAGCGGCCTGTTCCACTTTACCACAGGCGCCCATAGAAATACAGGAAAGGTAAAACCCAGATGGGTAGACTTCCTGTCTTGTCTAGCGACGGCCCATTCACTTCCATTGGCAGTGGTTCCGTCTGATAAAAGGGAAAAATGGCCAACAGATCGAATGTCCACGGATGGATGAGACTCTGCTTGGGACGTGCAAGGGGGTTTAGTCTTAGTTTGTGAAATCGGTCCGACTTCCCCGAATTTCAATCGCTAGTTGACCCAAAAAGGAACATTCTGTCATCATTTACTCACCCATCATTTACTCACCCCCTTATAAACATGTATGACGTTTTTTGTCCTGCAGAACAAAAAAAAACAAGATATTTTGAAGGATATGGAAACATATTCTTTCTCCATACTATGGAAGTCAATGGGGTCCATCAAATATTTGGTTACCCACATTCTTTTGCCGCTTATACACTTCACGTTACCGACTCGACTCGCCTTCGTTTGGTTTTCTACTGTGTAAAAGTTGTACCTGCTTTCGGGTACTTTTTTTGTATCACCTCCGGCGAGGTTCTGAGCCGATACTAAAATGTGACATGAAAACAATGCCGACTGCTGATTGGTCAGAGAGAATCGTCACCATACACTGCGTCATCGTTGCGCACGCCAGATAGTTACTATTATTATTATGCACTGTGAAAATATCGTTGGTTTAACTTAAAAAAGTAAGTAACCTGGGTTGCCTTAAAATTTTAAGTTGATTGAACTGGAAAAAGTGAGTTAATACAATGAAGGAGATTCATTTAATCATAAGAAACTCAAAATAATAAGTTATCTCAACTAAATAAATTATTATAAAGTTGATTTGACAAAGGAAAATATGTTGTGGTAACAAATCTTGAAAATATTTTTTACAGTGTGGCGACTCGGAAGAATGCGGCGTGGTCAAATGAGGAGGTGTAGGCAACGCAGAACGAAAGGTGTTGCTATGACGACCGGGTACTATTTCGTCTGCAATGGAAAACGGAGCGAAAAGCAAGGCGAGCCGAGTCGTTTCGAGCGGGTAATGGAAAATTGTCAATTATAATATCTTGAATAATACTCACTTGAGGGTGAGCAAATGAGGACCGATTTTTTATTTTTGGGTGAACTATCCCTTTAAGAATGGAATACACTACATGACTTTTGCACAGATTTTTTTTTGCAGTCTGTACGAGACAACACAGATTTTTTTCTTAAGCCTCAGGCCATATCCATCCAGTCAGAGGAAATCAAACATGTTTGATATTTTGACCCGATTTTAAAAATTC